TACGTATTATTATATATATATATATATATATATATATATATATATATAAAATTTAAAGATATATAATTACAAATTCATGTTTAAAATATTTATCATAACAGTAATATATGTATAACTGTAATTGTGTATGTTATTTTATTTTCAATACTCTTTATTATCTATTACGTAAAACATTCTTATTTATTTGAAAATATGTTTGCTTATAATAATCTCTTAAAAACCACGAAATAATAATCAATCAATAAATTATTAAAAATTACAAATAAAAATTGTTTGCAATATTACATTTTTGACTGTATAACTAACGTTATACTGTATTATCTCAGCGATATGCAGAATTATCTTTATAATTAAATAATTATAATTTTCTAGCAAATTGTATATATAAAATGTATATACTTATATATTAGTTTTTTAGAAAAAATGATGTATGTCCAAATTTTTTTTAAATTATCGTAGGTACCAAAGATATCGATAAAAGTCGATTGCATTCCGGAAGATCGTCGTCCGAAGACGTGAGGGCGAAAAGTCCGCTATCTGATAGTAGGTCGTCTCTCTTTGAGAAGTACTCGTTCTCAGCTGGCAAAACATCGGAGAGACCGTCTTCCGTGTTGGACAGATATAACCGACCGGCATCACGGGAAAAGAGCAGAGAGCCCGAAGGAATATCGCGGTACGGATCCAGCACATATCCCGGATCGAGTTTCGGCCGAAGTTACGGCAACGATGGTAGAATCGAGAAGAAGGACCACCCGTCGGTCTCGTATAGAGGATTACGTCCCAATTCTGGAAGAACATCGCGCGAACCTAGTCCGGAAGTCGGTGTCGGAAAAACGAATTCCTTCAGAGTCTATTCAAGAGCACCATCTTACAGTCGTTCAGCTGCTTCGCCTAGTTAGTGCGATTATTTTATTATATACATTATGAATTGAAAAATATTAGAAGATATTTTATTAATTAGACTTTTACGTTATTAGAAAGATAGATAATTAGAATTTTATTATTATTGTTTATATTATATATTATTTATATTATTATAGTTTACATATTTAAAAATATACGCGTTTAAAATATGAAATTCTTAATCCAAAAGCTTTCAAATTTGCATTAAATTTTAAAATTAAATATAAATTTTAAAATTACATTCAAAGATGCCGAGTACTGATTATAATAATAAATAATTCTCTCTATTAAACTCTATTTAACTCTAAAAAGTTCTTAATCTTATTATTTTTTTTAATATTTCAAATTTAACGCAAATAATTAACATTGAAAAAGATACATTTTTTAGGTACGTCCGAATCAAGCTCGGCTACAATCTCAACGAGATTTAGTTCGACAGCTGGTTCGCGATTTCTGTCGTCACGAAGTGGTAATGAACGAATGTCCACAACCATAAACTACTCCGCAGGGAACAGATTTCGAAATTTGAGCAATAAATCAAATCCGAAAGAACAAGAATCAAAGGACACTATGAAATCTGAAAAAGATAGTCATCATGAATTGTCAAAAATTACAAACCGAATAGACGAAGACAAGACCAACAATAAATATCCTGATAACGAGTTTATGGTGCTGACCGTAGCGACAAGAGGTACTTCACCGACACCTCCAGCTTCCTCGTCCTATATCAGAAATAGACGAGCGGAGATTAATGTCGTTCATCAAAAAGAAATAACTAGACTTCGAAAACAGCCGGACACTATGGATAAAGAAATGCAATGTGATCAAGTGGAAGAGACATCAAGATTCTCAAGGTATGGCAGCAATAGAGTATCCGGTGCTCCTTGGTCTTCATACTTAGATAAATACTCAACATCAAATGCAACTGGAAATCCATCTACATATTCATCTAGAGGATTTACTAATGTGAGTTCGAGTAGTAGACTTAATAACTTTGCGTATACGAGAACAAATGAAATACCAGCAACCACGAAAAATGAATCCTCTGCACAAGAATTATCGAGTTCTAATCAAGAAAGAAGTTTTAGTAATAAAAATGAGAAAAATGAGAAAATTTGTGATCGTTTAAATTCTAACTCGACTAACGAAACTTTATTAGCGTCCAATGATTCGAAGGTATCTTCGAACGGTCAGAATACTCACAGTATTTATAAAGAAGACAGAATGCATGGTAGTGAACATTGTTGCTACGGTGCACGAAAAACTGAAATGAACGAGAATCTCAGTAATTTGAAAAATTCCAATCAGGATCGAGTATTTTATCGCAAAGAAAATTCAACGATACAAGATTCGCAGGAAGTTGGCCGTGAGGATCGGAATAAACAAAAAGATACACCGAAGTGCGATGAATGTAATCAAAAAAGACCATCCATTCCACGATTGGAACGTATTTCGTCAAAGAGTGAAGTAAAAGTTTCTAAATGTTCTCCAAAAATTGAAACATCATCGAAATCCGAAGCATATAGGGAAAGAAGAGGATCTACTCCAAAATCTGATGTCAGCTCTTCTTCTAAACCTGAAGAATCTGTTCGAATTGTTGAAGGGTATTGTCAAGATCAAAATGAAGAGATAATTTCCCAAAACAATAATGCTTTGCAAAGAAAAGATTCGACATCGAGGTATGTAAATTTGTTTTGTAATAAACATTTATTGAATATATAAAGCAAACATACAAAGCAAATATATTTCTTTCATATTAAACATAATTTGTTAAGAATATAAATTATTTGTATCTTATTTAATTACAATATATTGTATTGTAAATAAATTATATTATATTTATTATATTATATTTATTTGTTAAATTTATAACAAAACTTTAGATTATTTTTTAATACTTAAAAGATATAATTCTTTATCGATATTGATAAAATATATAAAAATATTAAAAAATAATTGTATTATAAATTAAATTTAATTAAATTTATATTTAGTTATTTTTAAACTACATTATAAAAAATTCTATTTAATTAAAATGTAAAATAACATAAATGCCACTTAATGCAAAAGATAGAAAAAAATTTATGGTCTTCAAAGAAATGCAACAATTGATTATAAATCTATAAAAAATTTATTGAGTTGGGAATAAATATTTCTAACAGAAATCTAGATATAATCTTAAATAATTAATATTTTTTCATTAAAGCAGTTCTTCGCAAAGTCGTTCAATATCGATACCACAAATTCGGAGCGTATCGAAAAACACGTCGCGTCAAATGACGCGAACCGGCTCGTCAGACGGATCTTCTGTAAGCATGCCAATTGGCAGATCGAAATCATCATCAGCTAGTTCGGTGACGAGTCAGGGTATAAAAATAAAAACGGCAACGCCGCCATCGTCCGGAAAATCATCCACCGGTTCGATCCAATCGTCAGTGAACTTACGACAAGGCGGTTCGTCGGACGCGCGCGGCAAACCACCTGTACCGAAGAATGATACTACGACCGCCGCCACGCCGAAGTGCCTCGTGGCAGCGAAGTATGTAAATAAAGACTTCCGCAAGTCGACCTTGAACATGGAGAACGGCGATTTGTCGCACTCCAAGTACGCGAGAAGGAAGAAGAGTCAGAGAACCATCTCCGCCAGCTCTCAAGATTCTGAACCGACATCGGAACACATTCCTCACGATACCTCTTCGGGGTCCTTAACCTCGACAAAGAACGGTCGATCGAGGTTCAGAACTTCGTCAGGGGAATCAAAATCAACACTCGGAAGAAATGGTTCGAATGGCTCAATGAAATGGGAAGAATCGAGAAGTGGATCAAAGTCACCTTGCGGAACGAAAAAGAGGCCATCTGGGACATTGAATTCCAGCAACAGTAGTCAGTCGACCTCTGCGAGTTCTTCCAGCAGTGAAAATGATGACAATTATAAAGATAAAATGGGTTCGAGACGGAGGAGAAAAAGAACGTCGGATTCACCTACGCACGAAGTGAGGGGTAAAATCAGTGCAGGATCATCGAGAACAAGCGTATTGGCATCGTCGGCCGATGATGTATCCATGATGACGGAGAAACCACCTAGGCCGCCTTCTAGTTCAAGATCTAAAAGTGACCGGTCCGCGAAGACGGAAGAAGCCAAGTCTTTTTAATGAGAGCATTAGCACCAGTGACAAATTTTTTAAAAATAAGAGTCAAGACTCCGATGATATAAGTAAATCAGCTGGTTGGACTAACTCTTTTGAGGAAAATCACGAATTCAGTAACAAGTCAGCACAGTCATTATCATCTTCGAAGTCAGTCAATCAGAGTCTGTCGAAAGGTCCTAGCTTAACGAATTCTCCGAGGAGTGACGAAATAAGAGGAAATATTATGAGAATTCAACGACAATCTTCTGGAGAAAAACCATGGTGGTTGGATCCAAATTCCGACAATGTTCCCGAGGGAGTTCAAAGAGCTAGTCCATGGAACGATGATGTCAGTCAAGATACAACGATTAGTATGGCTTTGCCGGATGATGGTAAATTCAATTTTTAATATATACATTGTAAATATTATACACAATTTATATAACATATATGTTATATATATTTATACAGTATATTTAAATATTAAGGTTGTATGTTCAGCTTATATCTTTATTTCGTAAAACATATTTATGTATAAAAAGTTATATAAACATACAAATTATTAATAATTTTAAGATAAATAAATCTATACACAATGGCTATTTAAATACAAAGGTATTCAAAGGTGATTAAACGGTACTCTAGTCACTTTCATATTTAAATATGTGTAAGACATTAAAAAAAAATGATTAATTAAAAGTAAATTTGATATTATTATCATTCAATCAGTTGATTAACTTTTATAGATTACTATAAAAATAACTGTCGAGTCTTTGTAATCTAAAAATGTTTTTAAATCCTTGCACTTGCTATTTTATTTCCTGTGAATGTTGATAGGAAAATATAAACTCAAAATTTGGCGACAAGAATCTGGAGAACGCTCCTGGTTGTTAGATGACGTTGCAACGGAGGAAGTGAAGAAATCATCCACTCCTGCGTCTCCAATCTCGACACGAGGAGGTCACTCCAGTCGAGGTAGTTTTCGATCAGTCGATCGACGAAGTCGTATTAAGCATCAGCAATCAGGTGAACGAGCATGGTGGATGAGTGACGATCCGGAGAACGTTCCGGAGGGTATTGAAGTCATCCCGGTAGCATCTACCGATAATCAAAGTGCTGACAACCCTGTCGATAACGAGAGCCTTTACTCCTCAAAGCCGCTTAAGAAAATCCGACATATCGAATCTGGAGAGAAGGCATGGTGGATGGACAGCTCCTCCAATGTTCCTGACGGGGTCGTCAGGATTCCTGTGGAAATATCTAACAGTACTTCCGACTCCTCTGAGTCATATGAGATGATCAATATTGGCGTTAACCCTGAACCTGAGACGCATGTCAAGAGAAGCCTCTCTAGATTTCCTATCGAGTTTCCGCCACCACCGTCCGAAGAGCCGTTGGGAGATCGTGCAAGTCCAGAAGGGGTAAAATTGATCATGTCACTGCAGCATTTATAATCTCTCGGTTTCATCTGACACTTTGAGATAATCGTTTCTAATACGTTTTACGGAATCTTATAAATCTTTAATCTCTAACTGAAAAAAATTGAAATAATCTAAAAAAAGATAAGATTAGGAAACTTATTTAAGCTATTGATGAAATATTATAATAACACAACAATATTAAATTTTTTTGAGAACATTGAAAATTGAATTGACTAAAAGTGATGTGCAATAATAATTGAACTTAATGAATGAAATTAATAAATACGAATAAAATAAATTGCGTGATATAAGTAGTATTTACTATTAAATCTTTTTTAATTATTAATTATTAATACTAATTATTCTTTTACTCTTTTCTTTCTTTCGCTATTTATTATTTTACGTTAAAAATGATTAATAAATGTTATTAACTTAACATTTTATTATATTTTCTTATATTTTCTAAAAAAATAAAATACAATCAATAATGAGAAAGAATCGATGAAAAGAATTGCCAATCGAATAATAGAATTTGAACGTGTTACTTTTGCTGCAGGTCGAGAATCCGCCTGATCCACCAGATAATTATAAAGGACGAAATTCTCCTTACGACAATGTGCGATCGACACCCCGAAGATTGTCACCACGGAAACGACCCTCTACGTTGCCGTTGTTCATTGGCGAGCATACCGACATTGATGACATGCTTGGTGATACAGCTATCCTGTGCCACAGCCCTGTTCTCTCTCGTGTTCGTAAACAGGAACGCGTCGAAGAGGGTGAGGCGGGAATGAATTTAGCGTCACTTAGCGATCGATGCTATCATACCAAGTTAACATGGGTATCAGCCAGATTATCCGATGTATCGAATACAGCTCAACAAAGTGGATCCGGTTAAATTTATTATGTAATATCTATCTTTCAAAATTGATCAACAAAAAATGAAATCGATATATCGTTTAAAATTAAGGATATCTGTAAAGAATTAAAATTTTTGTGAAAAATACGTATAAAAATAACAATTTTTTGAAAAGATACATTCTATAACATTTTAGTTAATTTTATATAAAAAAAGTTAAGATTTAAGATTTATTTTATTTATTAACTTTCTATATTTCTAAATTTGCTGTATAATATGCTAAATAATATATATTTTAGATATAGAAATGGATGTTTAGAATATTTTAACTTAAATTTTTATATATTTTAACTTTTATATATTTGTTACATATGCTTTATATTGCAGACTCTTCCGAAGATGATTCAGAGTGTGAAGAAATAGATGTAACCCAGGTGATCATTCACGACAGCACAGCAAAAACACCAGTGATACAACGAAGAAATCGGTATGTTTCAAAGATAGATTAGTTTGACAGATATTTGTGAATTGCGACGAACATTGCGGCAATCTTAATGTTATCAAACAAGACACGTCGGTCGCGAGATAAAGGAGCGCGACATCTCTAATCTTGCGAAAACGTGTTACAAAGCGCACCGCGCTCTCGCGACGAGGATGGCATGCGATTTGAAACCATCCCTGATTGGTGCGATACAGCTTCCAAGTTGGATATAAATACAAGTAGCTATGCGAGAATGACTCGCTACGTTTTTCGAGCTTCTTCGTATCACGGATCCGTGCAAGAGGTCGAGACCTCTATATTACAATAATTTAACGAGAAACCGAGAGTCTTCAAACCTAAATTAATATGTGGGGTGACCTCCCACATGTATACATACGCGATAAAGATATTATTCAAATAATATATGTACGCAACATTGCATATATATATATATATATGTATATGTGTATATTATTATAATTTAATATTCATACGAATTAATTTAATTATTTAAATCATTTAGATTATTTAGATTAATCTAATGTGATGTTTTCTTTTCAGGGACGATAAGAGTATTCAACCCGATGGCTACATTCCGGTGAGTTTTTACATCTTGTTTGCTTGTAACTTTTTGCTTAACATAATACACGTAATATTTATTATAACAATTGATAATTTATGTATAAAACGTAACAAAAAATATAAAAATAAATATATTAATAAAATTTAAAATTAAAATAAAATATTGGATTTTATGAAGAAAGAAATTTGCTGAAACTTTATTCAATTTGTGTGTGTATATAATATTAAACTATATAATGTTAAATATTTTAAAATTAATAATTTAAGAAGTTAACGTTAACATTTTGTGGATTTGCAATATCTCTTTTTAAATTTGTCTCTTGATTCACTTTTTAGATAATTTTTTGATCTTTACTTTATCTTACTATTTGACATTTGAACTCTTTTAAAACTAAAGAAATATAATCAAAGTTAAAATTATTTATAAAAATTTCTAAATAAAATAATTTAAGTTTAAATGAATTAATATTTTTTTAATTAAGGGTAACAAATTTTGGTGTTAATCTCATCTCGAAAAAGAGATACGAAGATACACATTTCATTTCTTTCTTTAATGCATTTGTATTTACTTTTTCAATATATACTCATACAATATACTCCCCCATTGCAATATGCCTTTCAGTAGACATACATAAACGCGTGATTATATGGCGTGACTATATTGAAAAAGTCTTAACAAAAGCAAATTTCTCTACAAGAGGACGGATGAGATCAGGAGAAATGCATACGACACTATTGTTTTACTTCGCGAGGGATGCACGAAGGGTTTCTTGCTACCCTTTTACAATTTTCGTATTGTGCACAAAGTAATACCAACAAAGAAACCTTACTTGCTTGTTGAGTGCTTATATCCTTCGCATATTGTGTCTCGGTTGGTAAATATTCATTATGATAATGCTGCAATTTTATGAACATTGATTAAGTTTTATTAATTCTTGTTATAAATAAGTATATTATATACAATTATACAATTGTACATATATACAATTTGTTAAAATTAGTCACATTTTTAATCAAGATTATACATGAATCTTTCCGATTAATTTATAGATTTTTGAAGCAATCTTGCAAATTAATTATATTTTAATAAGCATCGTGCGATACAAAAAAATAAATAATGCGATACAAAAATATTCGTAACTATATTAATATTCGTAATTGATTATTTTGCTTGAAATATTATCAAATCTTTCACTTATATTTTTATACTGTTGTACAAGTTCATTATGATAACATTAGTAGTAGATAACCATCCTGCGTATAAATAATTTCTTCATCATATTTCTATAAGCGCAGCATCCTTTTTATATTTCGCAACCCCTATGACTTTGCAGTAATCGATAATACGCGTAGTTGTGATCCATAGTTCCATATCTTTTACTATTGCATTAACGTTTTTTATAATACAATTATTATAAGCTCAGTTTGCTTCCATTTGGAAGATTATTATCTTGTATTACAATCTTTTAAATAGTTATTTTATTTATTAATATTATTTAATGGCGATTATTAACAACATAATTTATTATACATGTTCTAAAAATAATATTGTAAAGTTTATATCCTATTTAATTTTATATTTATTTAAAATTTTAAGAATTTAATCAAAATTTTTTAATTTAAAATTCTAAATATTAAAAAAGAAATAGTTAAATATTAATTATATTTAAAGTGATAATTTTTTGATATATTATTTGAAATACTTATAATATTTATATATAAATTTGTCTTATGTTGGAAATTTTTAATTTTTATTTATTTAAAATTATATATTTTAAAGAGTGGCATATTTTAAAAGAATAAATCTTTTTAAAATAAAATAAAAGGAACTAAAGTAAGATTTAAAAAAATGTTCGAATGAAAAATTAAAATAAACATTTAAAATACATATTTTATTAAAGACAAGCTAATAAAAGAAAATAATATTACTAAACAATAATTTCTATATTGCTGTGCGAAACGAAAAAAAACTTGAAAAACAATGCTTGTAATTATGCAAAAAAATAGTTATTTATTTCAGATATGTTTCTAATAATTTTACATCGATAAACGATGGATCAGAAGGAAATCATAGATTAATAGTATATGTGAAGATCGTTATTTTATTTGAATCTCTACTCTCTCTCTCTCTCTGTCTCTGTCTCTCTCTCTCTCTCTGTCTGTCTCTCTCTCTCTCTCTCTCTCTGTCTGTCTCTCTCTCTCTCTCTCACTCACTCTCTCACACTGAATGTTCGGGGTGCGCACCACGTGAATGAGAGAGGGGTTCGACCGCGCGGCGGCGGCACTGTCGGTCGACGGCGACAGGTGTCTGCGATACGTTCAGTGTCGCGACGGCCGCTCTCGTGGTAAGGCATGTTGTCGCGGGTCGCGTGTAAACTTACGTGAACACTCGCGCTTCATTGCATCGCATCGATTCGTCTTTTATCTCCCTGCCGCGCGTGTGTCCTGCTCTTTGTACTGCAGATACGCGCGCCCGTTTCAGCCACGTGCGATTCCCGACACGCGTTTCCGTTGTTCGCGCGTCGGCGGCGGAAGTGCGCGTGTCACCCGAAAGGTGAGTTTCTTCGCGCAGACTCCATGCTCCAGAGGTTACTCTGAAGCGCGCGCGCTTTCATCTCGTGCAGCGCATGGAGGTCTGGATCTCGTCGCTTACCGGCTGGCTTTTCGTTCTCGCCTCGGAGAGAGACCTCTCTGTGGGTTAGTGCCCACAGTTGAAATTTGCGAATATTTTGGTACTTTTGTTTGAGTATATTTGAAACCATGCGAGAGTAATAATGAACGGCACGTGGGAATCCATTTTCATTCTTCAAATTTGCAGAACAATTAAATAGTTA